TACTTCTGCAGATTTCAGCAAGTAGCAATTCCCAGTACTCAGCCCTTGGCTGAAACTTCACTAGGTAGCCATGCAGGCCGAGGATATGACCTTCGAATACCTTAAGGAGGTTGTCGACGGGCTGATTTGTCGCCCGTGCGACGCGGTGACCACGGCGGAGCAACCGCTAGGCACCTTCAATATCGTCACCTTTCCCATGGAAGAGATCTCGGGCACTGACAACCCCCTGGTGCATTGCTTCGACCTCATCGCTGACCTCGAGGGTGAAGTGACCATTAGTGAGTTGGGCCGTCTCCACAAGCAAGCCTGCGAGAAGAGTGACTTGCAGCTGATGCCCCTCCCGTTTGGCTCGCGGGAGTGTGTGCCGGCAAACACCAAGTTGCAATTCGTCATCACGACCCGCCTCGATGGCAAGAAGGCCGTCTTGAAGCACTTCACCTTCCCAGACAAGGTCAAGCCATGCTTGTTTCAGAAGATGGTGTATGGCCAGGCGCACAAGGCGAAGTACATGATGCCCGTTCCAAAAGCTGGCCGCAAAATCCTGCAGTACTGCTTCGAGAACATGGGGGCATGCGTTCAGGTGCTTCGAGCTCAGTTCGCAGACGCTGGTGAAGCGAGCCAAGACTGTCATCCGCTTTGAAGACAAGGAGGATGACGAGATCGACCAAGGCTTCGACTTCATTCTCAAGCATGGGCCCCGCTCATCCAGCGAGAACCAGCAGCTGAGATGGCAGACAAAGACTTTGCGGGACACCAACTCGCCCATCTATGGCTGGCCCATTGGCTTGGTAGACAGGGCTTTGCGCAATCTGTCCTCGGATGGGGCACTTGCGCGGACCGCGGTAACCACAAGTGCACGAAGAAGACCTTGACGTCTGCGGAGAAGTCTCGCTTCAAGAATGTGCGGACAAACATGTCGGAGGTGTTCAACTCCTGGACTCGCAGGAAGAACTTCGTCCTGAATGGCATGAACGCGTACAGTCACAGGTTCTGGGCGCAGGAGTCCATCCATTTTTGGAACAACAACCTTCAATCCATGCTGGCCATCGGATCCCGCAGGAGCACCGCCAGCACTCGCAAACGCCCCGCTTCATCCTCGACTCTCAAGCGTCCGGCCGCTGCCGCCAAAAAGTGAGCACATCCAGAAGAAGGTCAGCTCAGAATGCCCGCCCGGAGTATGCGCAGAGTGGCACGGTGAGCCCAGGGAGACATACTCCAACAGTTTGAGGCGTGCGCAAGCAGATGAGACGAAGGAAAGCTGTTTGCGAGTCTGCGGTATAAAAGCAGCAAGAATGCGTGAGGGCGGTCCAACCTACAGAAACTCAAGGAAACCGAGAAAAACAAAAAAAACTCGAGAAAAACTACAAAAGCAAGAAAAAATCAACAAAAAAAGCCTCGGGAAAAACAAAAAAAAAGCAAAAACAAAGCCCCCAGGGAAATGTTCAAGTGCCAGGCTGGAAACCTTTTGCCAGGGGCTTTGTTTTTTGTTTTTTTTGGTTTTTCCCGAGGTTTTCTTCAGTTTTGTAGCTAGTGGACAATAAGAAGGTTCTCTGCTCAAGTGACAGGGGTCACAATGCATCAATGTGTTGGCTGCGTGCGGTCTGCGCAGTGTCCCAGCCCTGAAACCATCATACAGCAGGAATGTGCAAAAACACACGCGGTGGGGACACTGCTTTCTGATGTATGTATGTATGTATGTAGTGTATGTAATGTATGTATGTATGTATGTATGTATGTATGTATGTATGTATGTATGTATGTATGTATGTATGTATGTATGTATGTATGTAATGTATTAATGTAATGTAATGTAATGTAATGTAATGTAATGTAATGTAATGTAATGTAATGTAATGTAATGTAGTGTATGTATGTATGTATGCATGTATGTATGTATGTATATATGTATGTATGTATTTATGTATGTGCGTATGTATGTATGTATGTGTGTATGTAATGTAATGAATGTATGCAGGTATGTACGTATGTTTGCAACGTTTGTATGTTTGTGATGTATGTATGTAATGTATGCATGCATGTAATGTAATGTAATGTAATGTAATGTAATATAATGTATGTATGTATGTATGTTTGAAAGGTTGTATGTAGGTAATGTATGTATGTATGTAATGTATGCATGCATGTAATGTAATGTAATGTATGTATGTAAGTATGTGTGTATGTAATGTATGTATGTATGTATGCATGTATGTACGTATGTAACTAATGTATGTATGCATGCATGTATGTATGTATGTATGTATGAAATGTATGTATGTTTGTATGTATGTAAGTATGTATGTATGTATGTAATGTATGTATGTATGTATGTATGTATGTATGTATGTATGTATGTATGTATGTATGTATGTATGTATGTATGTATGTATGTAATGTATGTATGCATTAATGTAATGTAATGTAATGTAATGTATGTATGTATGCATGTATGCATGTATGTATGTATATAACATATGTATGTATGTGTGCATGCATGCATGCATGCATGTATGTATGTATGTATGTATGTATGTATGTATGTATGCATGTATGTAATTAATGTATGTATGCATGTATGTATGTATGTATGTAATGTATGTCATGTATGTATGTATGTATGTGATGTGTGCATGTACGCATGTATGTAAGTATGTAGGTGAGTAAGTATGTAAGTAAGTAATGTATGTATATATGTATGTATGCATGTATGCATGTATGTATGTATGCATGCATGTATGTATATATATATATATGTATATATATATATGTATATATATGTTTATATATATATATGCATATATATTTATATATTTGTTTATACATACATATGTATGTTCACACACCGTCACCCCCCCTCTTGAACTACCTCTCCACATTCGATTTTCCTTGTAGAAGTCCCTTCAATGTTTAGCCATATGTAATATGAACTAAATTTGAGAAGTAGTCTCTATTTAATTGTTATTATGAAAAGCTAATTGAATTGTGTTCGCATTAGATTATATCTAACACTTAGATTATTTGGGAATAAACTCCTAACTTCTTTTGAAGATTTTAGTTGGAGTTTGCCCAAAACAATACTTATATTCTCATGTAGCTCCTATTTGGAAAGGATTTGCTTATATGAGCTGTAGTTGAGCAATGCTGAGCATAAACACATTCTTGAAAACTATATCCTAACCAAGTTATATTCAAAATTCCAATTCTAGTTGAGGTAAAATCCGGTTGGGCCACGGTTCTTGCCATGATGGACTGCAAGCCCATTCGTTTGTGCTTTAAATCTATTGCAAAGTCTAAACTCTACAGCCTGCGCGCTGAAATCAAACAAAACCTAGGCACCGGGGGGGGGGGGCGTAACATATCAAAATATATATATACACATATCATACTAGTTGAACACATATTCAATTCGGTCAGAAAAACATGTAGTATCATGTAGTGCCAGTCAGGTGGTCTCCAAATTCCATCCCCGTCACTTGCTCGCCCGACGATTTCGCAGCAGAGGGCCACAAAACTTGTGGAGCGTGTTCGATTGCAAATTTGTTCCACGGATTCGGAGCCGTTGCGAGGGGAACCATGGGCCCGCAATTGCTCTTTGGCCCTGGTAGTCACCAATAGTTACGGTACTAGTTTGCAATGGCTCCTTTTGCAATGGCTCTGAAATCTGTATGTTAACATGTGCATGTACCCACTCCACTGCGTGCCCCAAAATAATTTGGAAAGACTGCTGCGCGTGATGCTTCCAAGCAATACCAGAACGTACGCACAACACAAATGGCACGCGACTGATGCAGCGTATTTTGTAGATTGGCCTGCAAGCATTTCGGAGGAGACATTTAACACCTTGCCAAACTTTTGGATGGCATGCGCGTGCGAGGATGGCAGAGCCCCTCTAAAATGGCCCCCACATAGACCATCGATTTAGTTGGGAAACACCAGTAAATACCGCAAGTTCTTGACTTGCCCTCCAGAAACATGTGGCGGGGACTCATGTATGGTAAACAAATGATAAATCCCCCCCTCCCCGGTCAGCAGGCAGCCTGCCCCAAATAGTTGGGCAAGCGCACGTAGGTTTGACTGTTTGCTTGCCCAACTGTGAATGCTCACAACTGGTATGATATGTTTTATTGGGAACCCTTTGAGGGACATTATTTCCATTGGGTTGTTTTCCCAACAAGTATGTTTGAAAACAATTCCCCCTGTCACATTCATGCATACTCCACTGACACCCGCCAACTGTCCAGCCAAGTGAAACGACGCTATGCCCCACTGATGCCCTACTGCTCGCTTACGACCCAATCCCGAGAACGTGACTGAAGCGTTTCGCAGTTGAAGCAAAAGGCAATGTCTGCTTGTGCTTGATAAACTGAATTTGGGCATGTGCTCTTGAACACTGACGTGCAACCGTCCCCTCATTTAAGTTGGGAATGCCGGCTCGTTGTTCATCGTGTTTCTATTTTGCAGCCACTTTTGACCTTGATAAGGCCCACTTGGAGGGCGGTGCGTGGCGTGGTTGTTTTAGAATCGACCGACAACAGCGGGCAAATACGCAGGTCTGCAAATCCCGTTGGATCTCAATCGCAGAGCATCGCAATATATGCAGTTTGACGATCAAGGAAGTTGAAAGCAATCAGGTGGAGCCACTTCTGTACTTAAAAACTCATAACCCAGGCCAGGTTTCCAATTCGCGTGGATGTATGCAGTATCTACACGTGTGCGCACAAATTCAGATTTAGATATTTGTATATACTTAGTAGTGCGCGTGTGCTTTTGCCCCGTATGATGGACACTTGGAGCATTTTGCAACCACCTAGTTTTGTCAGGTTCTGGAATCTTGGCTACAGAACTCTCCAACCTCCCCCCCGGCCAACCAAGCCCCCTCTAAAAATAAGAATGCAGGGCATCCATGTCTTGTAATTGGAAACAATATGATTCCCCCCCTCTCCACCCACCCCCGTCTGTTCTCCCTCTCCCAAAAACAAAGCACATGCAGAAGCTTCGGCAGGCCAAGACCGAAGCTTCTGGGAGCGCAAGTACATGAACTTCATGCAGCTTAACCTGGCACAGGTCCAGGACGGCCATCCCCATCTTGTACCCCCTCTCTTTGTTGCAGCCCTTTTGGTTGGAAATGTGTTTGGTTATTTCAGTAGACCCACTGCTTTTGATACCAACTTAGAGAGACTCAAAGAGGAAACGAAGGAAACGGGACCCAACAAAACGTTGTTTTTGCTCTTGGTTTCCCATTCTTCATTTTTGGGGGACCCCCGTGTTAACCCTTTAGTGACCCTGAACACAACACCCCTCTTGTGAAGTGCCCAGTTTGGTGGCCTTGGTTCCGCAGAGCTCGAGTTGTTTGGCAGGGCTCCTTAAAGGATACATTTTGCAACCATTTGAAACATAGCTTTTTCAACACCCAATTAAAGGGAAATCACAATTTACCAGTTGCAATGTTCAGGTGTATAGTGCATCCGGATCTGTTTGGCTTGCCAGGACGCGGTCCGTGCAGAGTGCCTCTACCATGGTCCCACCGTCCGCCTCGTGTCAGCGCTGGCATCGCCGGTGCTGCCGCTGGTGATGCTGCTGGCATGTTCAACGCTGGAGCTCCTGAAGCCTTCCCTAGGTGACTCGGAGAGGACCAAACCTTCTCCCTAGGCCTTGGGTTTGCAGCATCCGTTGTGAGACACTTTTGACAGGGGGTCTAGGATGACTTGCAACCAATTTAGGGCTGTATGCCCCATGAACCCATTTCTTCTTTGCAGAAAACATCGACATCTGTTTGCTTGGGCGGTTCTTGGTGTCGCTGCGTGACTTGTTAAAGCCAGACTCAACCAACCTTATCCCTTGTGCCCTATGGGGCTTCCCGCATTTTCCCGCTGCCAGCCCAAAACCACCTTCTCCTAGGGCTATCTTCATGACCGATCCAATATTTCGTTGGAGACAGCTGGCTTGCCCTGACTTAACTCATTCAGGCCCTTAGAGCCTTCCAAAGGGGCGGTCAAAAACGTCAGCTCACTGGAGTCCATCCAATTTTTTGGGGCTCGCTGGCCGCCCCTGGCCTTGAGCCATGGTGCTTAACTAAGCTTCGGACACCCTTTGGACTTCCAAGGAAGTCCGACGGATAATTATCGAGATTCCATTTATTTAGTTTTCTGTTTGGATCCTTTCCAAGCAACTGAGGGAATCAAGTTGGTTTGCAAAAGACTTGTGGTCTGGGTCTTCCTCAACCGCAAGGCAAACGCCGGGTCAAACCACTGGGGTCACTGGGAAGCGAGATGCCGCAAGTTTCGCCCCATTTGTCCAACATCTGGAAGCCGGATTTTTTGTTGGCCGGTCAAAGGAGGGCCCCAAAAATGCACATCAAGCTGCAGCGGCTGCACGAACTATAGCGAGCTCACTTGAGCGTTCAAACATGCATGAAAGAAGTCCGTCAAGGTGTTGTCCTGCAAGTTGCCTGCACAAAGGAAACACTGGGGGCGCTAAAGCATCGAACAGGCTTTTGCAAAGTGACGCGGGCAAACATGCTCGCGAAATAGGCAGCAAAAGGCCGATGTTGGTATATCGCTAGAGGGGTGTGTCTTGTTTTGAGGGGGACACCCAAAACGGGTGTTTTCCTTTGGCTTCCCTTCAAAATCTCAAAACAGAGGGGTCAAAAAAAGGGTACCCTGAAAGAAGACAAACCGATATAGTAGGCTTGGTGGGATTGTTTGCTGGAAAGAGTCCATTCGAGCCACCTCAATCTACGTTTAAGACCAGTTGTTCTGTACTAATTGGGTTGGTGTGGATGGCGCGTTGATCAACTGCGTTCCCCCCCCCCAACCTTGATGCCCTTATCCATGCATATGGAAGTGACCAGAGTGCTCCATCGTCCTCGACGCGATCTGAGCTCTCCCATGCGCCTGTTTTAACCCCATGGTCGCAGAGCTCCGCAAGATGTTAAAGCGCGCTCACCCTTAATTCAATGGAGATATACGAGTCAGCGCAGATGATTGGAGTCAGGCTCTGTTTTTGAAACATATGAGGGTTGATTATCTTTGCAGTCCCCACCCAGCTGTTTGCAGGGCTTTGCGTGATTCTGAAGAGAGGCATCTCCGAACAGAATGGAATGGCAAAGTGCGTCTGGAAAGTGGGCGTGCGCTCTTCGTTTGGAACTGGGACCCTCTGCTTTGATTGATTTGTTTCACAGGTGCAAACTGGACGTTGTTTTCTCGGGGCATCTCGGGGCAGATGCTTTCACCGAGGTGTCAGCATGGCCTTCAAGGTTCTGGCACTGTTCCTTGGTTGCATGTTCTGGCTTTGACCGAAACCAGCCGTTTTGCGCTCGTCGAACAATCGTTGCGCAGTCAGTTTCGACTTTTTAAAGACTTGTTGTTGCCAGCCTTCTTTTGTAGTTTCTGAAATACTCATTCAGTGAATAAGTTGTTGCATATGTTGCTAAGCAGCTCAGATGTCTTCCAGTTAGTCGCCTCAGCAGGTTAGAATATGACGCTCCTTGAATAGTTGTTGTTGAACCACACAAGGGTGTGTGTCAAATAGGGTGATCGCCACAATGATGTTCTCCCTTTGGGACTTCATTTAAAACCACCCCAAAATGGATACCACCCCGAAATGGATACCACCCCAAATGGATACCTTCAAGCAACACAAGCCCACATAATTTCCTTCGTGCATTTGCTTTGCTTGACTAGTCTGCCAGGTTCTACATCGGCGGAGCTCAGCAATCGAGCGACCTCTTCCGTTGCCAAACGGTAGATGGAGGCTCAGTCAAAGAAATCAACGCTTCGTGTTCGTTGCTTCGCGTTTCCAAGGGGTGTATCCAACTTGAGGCTTCACCCCCCCGGGCCGAGCTTGCCACGAAACAGAAGGCAACACATGCCCCGACATTGCAACTCTGGCCAAAAGGGCGGGCTGTGTGAGTCGTGGCCACATGGACGAAGTCTCAGCCACCAGAGGAAGAGAACAACTTTGGTCTTTCTGGGGGTGAATGTGATATATCTTGGGACAGTCTAACATCAAATCGCTGTGGAAAGCCGATTGAAGTCTTTAATTCGGTCAAAGACCCCTTTGCCTAAATTGTGGCACAGGTTTCGAAGCCCTGCAGGTGGTGATTCTCTGGGCGACTACGCGTTTCTGCAGAAGCTACCATTCATCTCGTGTTGCGAGAACTCGGGCATATCACAATTGGTGTCAGCCTCAGCATGATGTGCGCCTGTCAGCCTTGCTGGCTGGCTTCTTCGAGGGGATGCCTTGAGCGCGCCTTTGTGACCTCCAAGTAAACGGGAGCATGGGTGTGAGACCCAAAGTAAAACCCTGTGGTTTTGAACAAGCGAGGTGCACGTCACGGGCTGTGTCACGGCCTTGTTCTATGTCTTCATTATCCCAGCTGCCAACCTGCACCTCTTCGTCCGCCAGTACGTTGTATTGAATCCCGATCAATGAAAAGTGGGTCGGCGGTTTGGTGCAAGTTTCTGGTGGTTGGAGTTCAGTGACTGCAACTGCAAGAGGTCCAGAGAGTGGGAAATTGCGAGAGCCTTGTGGCACAAGCCGTAGCGGAGCAGGCTTCTCAGACCAGAAGACCATGTGAGGGTTGCTCACAACGGGTGACGCCATGATATTTTGGTTTTACTGCAGGGATCCCCGGATTAATAACGCCCGGTTGATTCAAAGGGGAGATGAAGTGGGGAAATCCTTCACCTTCTGCGGGCACCCCGTATTCCGCCAGGTTGATTCGTCCGAAGCCCTGGGCTGTGTGCAACGGCGCCATCCCATCTTTCGTTTGGGGCACCCTACAGGTTTCCCATGCGCCTGTGACTTGAAAGCAGGTTTGATTTCGGCTTGTTGTTCATTTACGAGTCCCATCATGTTTCGCTCAAGCCCTTCTTCTTTAAACATGGTCAAATCGCCATTTGTCAGCTTCCTTTTGGTTTCCCCTCCCGGTTGTCATGGTTTGTTCTCGTTTTTGTATCGCTTTTTGCCCCAACCTTGGCTGCAGGTGGTTGGCTTCCCACACATTTTCCCAGCCCCCCCAAACAAATCCGTCTTTGGGTAAGGCTAAACTAGGCAACATCTGGGATCTCGGTGTGTTAGGGGCATGGTACTTTGTAAGTGGATAACTATGGTTATCAAGTCCCACCAAAGCCATGGTGATAAGTCTCCTTTCAGTGGGTTCTCTCACCAGGCTTGCTCCCACCACTTCCCTGACGTACCGAATCCATCGCCCCCTTCAGTAGGAGCAGTTTTGCTTGGGAACTCTTATAACCATGACATCATGGTTTTTGTGGGTAACCATGGTTCTTACTCACTCACCTGACGTCCGCTGCCTTCTTAAGTACTGTGGATGGACGAATCCCGCACGTTGAAGCCATGGTGGAAGCCACTGTTTGTGGTTCCGTTGGAATCGGATCCTTGCCTGGGGTTTCTGAACGGTGCGAGACTCGCGGGTTCTGTCCACGGTGGAAACCCTCGCTTTCCTCACATTTTCCGGGCCGCGTTGGCCGAGGAAGCCGAGCAAGACGGTGATGGCGGTTGCCGAGCAGACAACGGCGGGGTGGCTGGCCAGGCTGCAGCCCCTCCGCCAAACCAAAGGCAGACCACAGGCGCGGCTGCGTTTTTGGGGGTGGGGTGGGGGATGGAAATCGGTTTGCGTTACTGGTTGGAACATGACAATGGTTTGCAAGGGTATCTGTCTAAGGGGGTTCGAACGCCGCTTTTGCACGGGTGTTCGGTCAAACAAACAATAATATATCAAGCATGTGAAGCTTTGTAAGCGAGTTCCAGGACTTTAGTCTGGTAGGGAAGACAGTGTTAGTGGTGTACAAAAATATCTAGGATATGTTTTCTGGCCAATTCACTTATGAAGTCAGCAAGAGCAGTCTGAAGGGAATGCCCATATTATCCGACGTCCGAAGAAGCGTTTGCTTAGAGTATGTTGCACATTGTTTGGCGAACGCATATTGAACAGTGGAGTCCTTTCATACATAAGGGGTTGCAAGTCAGTCTGCCGGATGTTGTTTGAGAAGTTTTGACTCCAAATCTTGGGACGAAGCTGGCTTTGGAAGGATCACGAGCACCTGCTTGCTGCCGCGGTGGCGCATATGGCGGTTGCGCTCCGCGGCCAGGCCAGCTCCGCGTTATTCGCGCGAAGCGCTTTTTGGTCGACGGGCTCCGTCGGCGGCGCCAAAATACCGGTTCCCGTTGGCAGTTGTTCAACCTTTGGACCTTTTGGCTTTCTCTTTTTGGTCCATGGTCATTGTCCCAGGAGGTTAACCTTTTAGTTCTGGGTCCTTTGGGCAAGTGAGTAGATGGTTCTACCTGGTCTTGTGGTATAGTAACGTAGTATGGCCTATAGGACCTTTAACATAGCCAGATTGATAGAACTTTCAAGGGCTTCTTCCATCCCATATTTATCCTAGTCTAGGTGGCGGGTGGTGGCTGTCGTCCATCCACTGTAGCAAGTGACCAACCTTGCGATGTTTTTTTTGTCGGGGGTATTTTAGGGGTTCGTGTAGTAGGTGTTTCCAAAAATTGGAACTCCCGATCGATGGCTTGTCAAAGTCGTCCAGGGTCCCCTATTTTGGACACGCATACTTGAGCAACTGAGCGTTGGTCTGGAGAAGACAAGAGAAAAGTGGCCACCAAAATGTGCAAACACCAGGGGGGTCGGGCTCCTATTTCTTGGCCTCTTAAGAAACCGAGAGATTTCACACATTTATATCCAATGAGGTCCATTGAATCGCGGCATGGTCCCAACCAAACTTGAATAATACGCAATACATTTTTGTGTGTGGTGTTGGAATCTTCTTTGTTTTTTTTTGTTGAATGGGTCTCTAGCGTGCATCCCTCAAGTGCCAAAGTAACAAGGGGATGGGAATAACCAAAGGAGAATTCGTGTGCTTTCCTTGGGCCATCTGACCTTGACATGGTTATTTGTGATTGTAGCTGGAACTAGGATTCGCACAGAAGTGCTCTTGCAACCTTGAGAAGAAGCCGAGATCAGCTGCCAATCCCTGTTCTCCTTAGGGCCACTTACGAAATAGGCAGCCATGGTATGGAGTCAACCTCACTTGTCCCTACTGTGGATGGACAGAATAATGCACCAGTTCGCTGGTTTATCAACCATTATTTGTAGGTTTCACTTATCCCAAGTGCGAAATGGAACCCTTTCAACAAAGGGTTGCAAGCTGGAGACCCATTCACCAGTTTCGCAGTTTGGGCCGCGGATGCAAAGTGTATTTTTTCGTTGCATGGGCCACGGTCTCCAGTGCGGCACCAGACGTGAGATGAAAATAATTGATCTCCGCAGGTACGGCTGCAGCTGCGCGATGGCCAGGCGACGCTTGGCAGGCAACGTCGCCAGAGACTTTGGCATCGATTCGCCTGGATAAGACGTGCGTTTAGCCCGCCTGTGTCTGAGGATTTCTATTTGAAGTAGTTTAACGTAATTTGCCCAGAATGCGGCTGTTTTGTGGAACAGGGTCGTGGAACATGGGTTATGCCTTTTTTGGCCCTTTTCGTGCTTGCCTTTAAGACTTGAAAGTGTCCAAAAGCTAACTTAAATACACAGAGCAGCAATCTTAAATACAAAAAAATGCTGGTGTGGATGTGCTGTGGATATGGCATGGGTAGCAAATGTGCGGGCAATCTGGGTGAGGGTACCTGCTAGCATCATCTACACCGACTCCATGCTGAAGGCCCAAACATGAAGGCGGGGCAGCACTGAACAAGTGCTGCTAGTGCCACTGAACAAGTGGCCCCTCCCTGCACAGAACCAGTGCAGTGTGGCAAGTTCAGCCTTCCCCCTCTGTTGCTCTGTTTTTTTTTATGCCTTTCAGATTTCCATGATTTTCCATGGGCAGGACCTGAAAGGGTACAGGCCTGCAGGCCTGCATCAACTCAAAGCTGCAGGCCCAAACATCAAGGCGGGGCAGCACTGAACAAGTGCTGCTAGTGCCACTGAACAAGTGGCCCCTCCCTGCACAGAACCAGTGCAGTGTGGCAAGTTCAGCCTTCCCCCTCTGTGGCTCGGTGTTTTTTGCCTTTCAGATTTCCATGATTTTCCATGGGCAGGATCTGAAAGGGTGCAGGCCTGCAGGCCTGCATCAACTCAAAGCTGCAGGCCCAAACATCAAGGTGGGGCAGCACTGAGCAAGTGCTGCTAGTGCCACTGAACAAGTGGCCCATCCCTGCACAGAAGTGTAGTGCAGTGTGGCAAGTCAGCCTTCTCCCTTTGTTGCTCTGTTTTTTGCCTTTCAGATTCCCATGGGCAGGGTCTGAAAGGGTGCAGGCCTGCAGGCCTGCATCAACTCAAAGCTGCAGGCCCAAACATCAAGGCAGGGCAGCACTGAACAAGTGCTGCTAGTGCCACTGAACAAGTGGCCCCTCCCTGCACAGAACCAGTGCAGTGTGGCAAGTTCAGCCATCCTTCTTTGTTGCTCTGTTTTTTTGCCTTTCAGATTGGATCTGAAAGGGTGCAGGCCTGCAGGCCTGCGTCAACTCAAAGCTGCAGGCCCAAACATCAAGGCTGGGCAGCACTGAACAAGTGCTGCTAATGCCACTGAACAAGTGGCCCCTCACTGCACTGAATCAGTGCAGTGTGGCTCTCTGCAACTGCCCCCTCCCTACGTTGCTCTCATGCTGTTTGCCTTTACTTTTTGATTCCATGGGCAGGCTTTGAAAGGACGCAGGCCTGCATTTTGCCAGTACATCCACTTCATTCTCAAGACCCGTTCTCAACATCCAACCAACCAGGTGGGGCAGCACTGGACAAGTGCTGCTAATTGCCACTGAACAAGTGGCCCCTTGATGCACTGAATCAGCGTGGCACTGTTCAAGTGCCCCCTTTTTGTGGTACTACCGCCCTCTGGTTTCATGCTGTTTGCCCGCCCCAGATTCCCATGGGCAGGATTTGACAGGGCACAGGCCTGCAGGCCTGCAGTTTGCCTCAGTACATCCACTGTCACTTCAGTCTCAAGGCCCAACCAACCAGGCGGGGCAGGCAGCACTGAACAAGTGCTGCCAATGCCACTGAACAAGTGGTCCCTCCCTGCGCTGAATCAATGCAGGCGCTACTCAAGTGCCCCCATCCCCAGAAAAGCTCCCATGTCCTTGCAGGATCCCACAGGCAGGGCAGGGGTTGACTCAGAATGGCCTGCATGCCTGCAGTTTGTACATCCACTTCATTTTTTCAACCAGGCGGGGCAGGGCTGAACAAGTGCTGCAAATGCCACTGAACAATAGTGGCCCCTTCCTGCGCTAAATCAATGCACCATGTCACTGCTAAACTGTTGCTACCGCCCTCTGGGGTGGGGCAGCACTGAACAAGTGCTGCTAATTCCACTGAACAAGTGGCCCCTCCCTGCACGCACTTTTCAAGTGCCCCCTCCTTGAAGGATCCCACAGGCAGGGCAGGGTTTAACAGGGTTCAGGCCGGCATGCCTGCAGTTTGTGCATCCACTTCATTTTCAACCAGACGGGCAGCACTGCACAAGTGCTGCTAATGCCACTGAACAAGTGGCCCCTTCGTGCACTAAACGCTGCAGCATGGCACATGCCCCCTCCCCCCTGTGTTGCTACCGCCATCTGGTTTCACAGTGTTTGCCCCCCCAAGATCCAGGGGCAGGATTTGACAGGGTGCAGGCCTGCAGGCCTGCAGTTTGCCACTTCAGTCAAGGCCCAACCAACCAGGCGGGGCAGGCAGCACTGAACAGTTTTAATTCCACTGAACGACAAGTGGCCCCTCCCTGCACTGAATTTTGCACTGAATCAGTGCAGCATGGCGCTGTTCATGTTGAATTCCCCCTAGTGCGTTGCTCCCATGTTCTTGAAGCGCCCCTTGGGCAAGATTTGACAAGGCGCAGGCCTGCAGGCCTGCAGTTTGCAGTACATCCACTTCATTCTGAAGGCCCAAACATCAAGGCGGGGCAGCACTGAACAAGTTCTGCTAATGCCACTGAACAAGTGGCCCCTCCCTGCACTGAATCAGTGACTTTTCAAGTGCCCCCTCCCCAGAAAAGCTTCCATGTCCAGGCAGGGCCAGGGTTGACAGGGTTGGCCGGCATGCCTGCAGTTTGTGCATCCACTTCATTTTCAACCAGGCGGGGCAGGACTGAACAAGTGCTGCTCATGCCACTGACAAGTATCAGTTCAGCATGTCACTGTTAAACTGCCCTCTACGCTGTTTGCCTTTCCCCCCCCTCCCAGATTCCCATGGGGCGCAGGCCTGCAGGCCTGCAGGTTGCCAGACTCAGTACAATCACTTCATTCTCAAGGCCCAACCAACCAGGCGGGGCAGCACTGAACAAGTGCTGCTAATTGCCACTGAACAAGTGGCCCCAGTGTGACTGTTCAAGTCCTCCCCAGAATTGCCTCCTAGTGCGTTGCTTCCATGTTCCTGAAGGGTCTCATGGGCAAGATTTGAGAGGGCGCAGGCCTGCAGGCCTGCAGTTTGCAACTTCATTCTCAAATTCACTGAACAAGTGCTGCTAATGCCACTGAACAATGACAAGTGGCTCCTCCCAGTCAAGTGCCCCTCCAGGCCTGCCAGCCTGCAAACAAGACCTAGCAGTATGTACATCCAGGCGGGGCGGTGCTGAGCAAGTTCATGGTTGCCCCCCCCTTCCAAGTCTAGCGCCCCGTTGCGCAATCACCCCCTCCTCACTCCCACATGCATCACTCAGCGCTCAAATGTAGCCTTGCTTTTGACGGGCGCACTTCCATGGGCAAGATCATGGCCTTAAACCATGATGTCAACTGTTGCAGATGATTGGCCTGAGGGCCACTTCAAGTTTAACATTTCAATGCAGCCATGCTGCTCAAACTTCCGCCCCTCAGGAACTTTGACTTCCACCATTTTCTTAAGTCTGAAGCACACACCGTGATGTTATTTCTAGCCTCAGTGTAGGGAAGCTTGCCAGCATTACCCGGCCCATAGCTTTTAAGAGTCGCAGGAAAGTAGGACATTCGCAATGTGCAATTCTGCCACTTCACCCTTCCCCTGCTGACTTCCTGCGCCAGCATCACCAATGAGAGCTGAAATTTTCAAGCACCCCCTCAACAAACTGCCTTACCCTGCGCTGCGCAACAAGGCGCAGTGCAATCAAGTGAAGGCCCAGTCTATGATTGCCTTTAACAGCTTTGGCATGGTCCACACACACACATCACCACACCCTTGCGTGGCTTTGCGCGGTAAGCCACTTGCCAAGGATCCACCCTTCTTCTGCCGCCCTTATGCCGCCGCGGCTGTGCCCAATGAGCCTTGGATGCAGCCATGAACAGTCAGAATGCCAATCTTGCATTCCCAAATTTCGCTTAGACATGACGTCAATGTATTGTGGAGTCTGCATGCAGCATTTGCTCAAGTAGTATGCATTGTTGCCGCCTCCTGGCGCTAGACTTGCTAAGCGTGGCAATGGCTAGTAAGCAAGCGGCAAAGCCAAAGATCCAAGCAAAAGCACTGCCACAAGAAGCGCCGCAACAACCGCCACCTACAGCTTCAGGGAGCAGGCCAGGTGCAAGCAAGCCATCAAGTGAAATGCGGCCACCAGAGCCAAGCAATCCACCGCGAAAGCCGCAGCAGCAAACGCCACCAGACCAAGTGCAGGAGCCACAGCGGCAGCAGCAGAGCCAACCCGGCCCACAACAGCACCCAGCTGGCCAGACACCAAAGGCAGCAGGACAAGCAGGCCTTCACAACCAGGGGGCAACAGCTCCAGCTGCTCCACTTCAGCAGGCTTGGGCAGCAGGCCAGCAGGCCAGCAGGCCCACAACCCAGGCGGCATGGCCACAGGCTGTTCACAACCAGGGGCCATGTCCATCGGCGCCACTTCTACAGCTTGGAGCACCAGGCCAGCAGGCCAGCAGCCCCACACCCCAGGCAGCATGGCCAGAGGCTGTTCACAACCAGGGGCCATCTCCATCAGCACCGCTGCAGCCTGGAGCACCAGGCCTGCAGGCCGCATTCGCCTTTGTCCCACCACCTCCAGCGCATCCTCCAAACACAATGCCCCAACAATACTACACACCATTCCCAATGCCAGCAGTTTGGGCACCAGGGCCACAGGCAGAGGCCAGCGCTGCACCCTCCGAGCCTGCCTCCGAGACTGCCGCCAAGAAAGGATGCCCTCCCAGTGTCAACCGCCGCCTCGACAAGCGGCTTCAAGACCGATCAATGCAAATGGCGCAGGACGCATTTGCAGACCTGAATGAAATGCAGCGGCGGTTTGCAGATCAAGTTGCAAGGACTCTGATCAACCACCAACTGGCCATCTCAGAAGCTAACGAGATGAACATGCAGCTGGTGAAGCAAGTGCAGCAAATGCAGTCAGACCACCGGG